ATAGAGCGTGTTCATAGCGGTGTGATCTACTAATGTGTCAATGTATGGTAGGGGAAAATCATCCTTTGGGCTTGCTCGATTCAAATCCCAATAATCTACACACACTCTGATTTTTTTCACTCTTTTTTATGACGGGCACTATGTTTGCCAACCATTCTGGGTACTTAGATACAATTAGAAAGTTAGTGTCTAGCTGTCTTTGCACTTCCTCCTTGATCATTAAGGACCAATTCGACTTTATTCTTCTGAGCTTCTGTCTTATGGGCCGAAATCCCTCTTTCAAAGGTAGACGGTGTTCCACTATGCTTGTATCGAGTCCGGGCATGTTGTGATAAGACTAAGCAAATACATTCACATATTCTTTTAAACGGTGTATTAGTCCCTCCCTGATGTCACTGTTAATCTGGGTGTCGATGTTCATTTCTTTCTTATCGTCTCCTTATCCCAAGTTGATATATAGTTTTTGTTTCTTCCTGATAAGGTTGTATGGACCGAGCTTCTTTTTCTAGCATTCTCTGCATGTTTTGAGAAATGGTCCCCTGCTCACTGTCGGATTCGACCCATTCGCCTTCGGCTTCCAGATCCCACAGAGGTTCATCAGTCACAGAAATGATTGTTTTTTAGGTTCTGTTTTAGACATAGATTTTATTATTCGATTATTTTGAAGGAATAATAAGTAGGAGAGGGAAAAGAATGAAAATGAATATGATATGACAGAAAAATGTCTCATGTATTAAGAAAAAAAGTGTATACATGCCCTTTTAATCGGTGATCCTACGGCCACGGGCAGGGACCGTAGGAAATACAAGAAAAGGTTAAAGAAAAAACACCCTAACAGATGATCCTCCTAATCCGACCCTCCTCTCACTCCGATTTTGACAGAGACTTGATATCTACATCGGAGGCAGGAGCGTAAAAAGTTATCCACCCAACGTCTATTAGCTCTTGGACCTTATATTTCAAGGTCAAGCAATTCTCTGTTGAATGCCCAGGCGCATCCAAGTGGTAATCACATTTTTCATTAGGCTTATACCACTTAGGGTAGGGAGGCTCCACCTTCTTGGGAGGAATGTGAACCAAGAGCTTGGCCTCTAGCAATTGGGGCAGTAATTTCCCGTAGGAGGTCGAAAGAGGGGTAAACTTTCTTTCCTTTTTACGTGGTTGCCGGATCGTCTACGGAGTGGAGGAAGGAGTAGCAAGATTGATCACATGCACAACCTCCTCCTTCTTTTTGCTAAAGTGCTTTTTGAATGAAACGTTGGAGGAGGAAGATCATGTTATCTTCCTGCTTCTTAGCCCTTGCTCCACCCTTTCTCTGATGGTGACCATGTCTGAGAAGAGGTTGGATGTGTTTGCTATTGCCTTATTATAATAAGGGTCTGTTAGCGAATCAATGAACATGGTCACTGTTTCTTTGTCTGTTAGTGGAGGCTCTACTTGGGCAGCCATTTCCCTCTACCGCTGGGCATACACCTTGAAAGGCTCGTCGTTCTTTTTGCTCAAATTTCTAAGGTCCGACCTATCCAGAGTTAGGTCAATATTATATCGGTAACGAGAGAGAAAGGCATCTGTTAGCTGCTTCCAAGTTTGGACCTGCCCCTTCTCCAATTGCATGTACCAGTTGAGAGTTGAATCCGCCAGGCTCTCCTAGAAGCAATGGATCAAAAGTTTCTCAATCTCAGCATATGCAGCCATTTTACGACAATAAATTGTAAGATGGTTTTTGAGGCAAGTCAGCCCTGCATACTTGGGGAAGTCTAGGAATTTGAATTTCGGAGGAAACTGGATGTTCTTGACAAAACACATGTCAGCTGCCTCCTTAACGTCAAAATTATGCTGTTTGGATACCTCGGGGGTGTGGATGTACATTGTCCTTGCGTCAGACTGCACGGGGGCTTTTTTCTCATAAAAGAATTCTTCTTCCTCTTCCTCCTCATGGCGAGAGGCGCACTCACCATGAGTTTCTCCTTTATTGAGGTTTTGCTGGTGCATAACCTCCATCATCTGCGCCATTTGCTCTCTCAAGGCGCTAACCTCAACAGTGAGTTTGCGGTTGTGTTCCTTCATGTGCTCCATTGCCTTAGCCTTCTATGCACAGGTTCAGATTATGGGAAGACCAGCCACTTTCTAGGATACCGAAATGAATTTTATTAATGGAGATGAATGATAAGTGTGGGATTAGTATCTCCTAAGACAACGGCTTAGGTATCATCTTTAAAGCTTATGTTTTGCGAAGTGTCATATCCACTTCGGTATAATGGTTCCTTCCCCATCATGGATTTGATAAGTATAACGAAGGTCACCAAATACCTTATCACACTTGTCCCTCCCTTGTGGAAGATTGCAAGCGCACTTGGGTCTCTTTCGCTTTTGTCTTAGAGATATCTAATGCCCCCTAGCATGGGTGGATTTATATATGAGAGGTTTTATTAAGATGATGTGTATGTTTTCTTTCCTTATGCATTTATTTTCTCTCTTGTTTTTTTCACTTATGATATGATGCGGGTATGAATGATTTGACTTTGTCAAAATCGTTTTATTAAAGTTTGTTATTTTTTTTATTATTTGTTTTGTGACCCTTTTATCTCTTTTGTCGGTCCACGTGACTACTTAGCTTACAAAGAACCTGAAATCAGGCTAGTTAAAATGTGAACTGTCCGAGATAAAAGTGGTTTATTATAAAAGAATGATTTTAGAATCCCTTATCTCTTATGTCGGTCAATGTGGCTACTTAGCTTACAAAGAACCTGAAACCAGGCTAGCTAAAATGTGAATTGTCCGAGATAAGGGTGTTTATTATGAAAATGTTTTTGAGAGATTTTTTTGTTGTTGTATGATTATGCTATGCAACAAACAAATGCACAAACAACTCACTCATCTGCGAACAGTGAGATGACGTTTTTATCATGAGGTAGGGGTATCCTGCAGAAGAGTGCGTATTCAAGGTAGTTCTAAATATCCTCACCAAGGCCAAGTCCCCAAGGTGCCCCCATTATAGGGTCCCCACTCTCCCAGCCTTCAGACCATGCATGACACTAGGGCCTTGTCAGTCTTTAGGCCAAAAGAGGAAGGTTATCACCTTGAGTGGTGTTTTCCGACCATACCGGTGGGTTCATGGCCCTCACTACGGCAAATCGTGCAATGCCACTCACTCCCTAAGGTTATCCCACTTGCCCCCGGGTATAGGGGGAACTGTTTTTTCAAACAATTGCATAAAGTAAACATACAACAGTTATTAAAGAAAAGCAATAAATCATGTTATAAAAGCAAGAAAGGGTAAAAGCGTAATTCCAAGTTTTTATTTCTCAAACTAGTCCATCACTAAATGGGATCAACTCTCTAGTTTTCCCAGTGGAGTCACCATCTGTCGTTGCCGTCAAAAGAGGTGGTTAGAGCGACGCGATGGTCTTTTGATTCGACTCGCGTTTTTAAAAGTGTGGTCATTACCCTTAGGATGCCCGATAAACGAACTATTCTAAGGATGAGGTTTTCATAAGTGGGTTTTGGAGCCGCCACCAATATTTTTACCAAAAATATTGGAAAAGAAAAAGAAGGCGATGGTTTTAAGAAAAACCAACTTTGGTCATTACAACCAGAGTTAGGTAAGGAACTTAGTTACGCGTGGGGAAGGTATTAGCTTCCCCACGACGCCCCTTTCGGGTTCCCTATGATGGACTGTTTATTATAAAGAAATAAGAACATTGAAATCATGCTTTTACCCTTATTTATTCATTGCAAAATTTAAATTATTGACTAGATGGTCCTAATAACTAATGCACAAAGATGGTAACTAATAAAAGCGATAATAATAAAGTAAAGGATATAGAGGAACCTTTGAAGCAAGCTTTTATAAATGTTCTTGTAAATGGCGCTTTTTGGCAAACCCCACTCTCTACAATGTCGCTCACTCTTTTCTCGAAGGACTCTAGAATGTCTAAAAAGAACCCTAGGACTCTGAAAATAGTTTAGAGGAATTTTAGAAGAGTATCGGAGGGTATATTCAGTTGGAGAAGTTGTGTAAAACGAGGAGAGGACCCCCCCCCCCCATTTATAGAAATTTGTGTCCGTCAGACTGGGACGGCGGTCTCGTCTGATAAGGTCGGGACCGCCATCTCAACATTTGACACCACCATCTCACCATCTCGACATCGTCTGATAAGGTCTCGTCTTCCTATTCTAATATGGAGCCTATTGAACAATCCTAAGGACCTTTAAGGCCTTGTCCATCTTCGAACGAAAGTCTTCTGCTCTTTATTTTGAGGTCGGGCAAGATTTGAGGTCTACATCTACCAATAATGGACTAAAAAGGAACCTGACTAACTTAACCCATAGGTTAAAAGGGTTCAAGCCGAGTTATGGTGGGTTAAGCCTTAACCCATTATTTATTTTAAATTTTAAAAATAATTATAATAATTTAGTAACTCTAATTTATGTTATCCTGTCTCTCCACCTCTAGTTCACATTGTCGGTACAAGTCAAACGATTACTCAAGCTTGTCATAGTTGTTTGTCGTACCATTGTGTTCGTGGCTACGCTTGTGCTGTTTGCCATCCGCCTATCGCATCATTATGTCATTGTGTTCATTGCATTTACTACACCACCATACCACTATGTTTTAGTTCCATGTTTTAATTACGTCACAACTTTTTCCACGCCAATTGCACCACTGTGTCATTATGTTTCAATTCCGCAATTCAATTATTTTTATTAGAAAAAAAATTAAAGAACAAAAAAATAAATATGGAGTAGTGAGCTAACCAACCTAACCCGGCTCACCAACTCGTAGTGGATTGAGTTGGGTTATGAAAATTTCGACTCGTCATAAAGTGAGTCGGGTTGAACTCGTCTATTTTTAGCTAAGCTCGTGGTGAGCAGTGATAGAGCTTCTTTGGAGGTGAGGGGGGCGACACCCCTAAGGTTTTGTAACTTACGTTAGCTCCCCTAAAATTAATGATTATTAAATATATTTGTTTGTATATTTACAAATGAACCAAAATTTTTGGAATGGATAAGCGAGGATCAATCCCCATACCTCTCGCATGCTAAGCGAGTGCTCTACCATCTAAGCTACATCCTCACATGACTTTTATGAATAGTTCAAATTTTATTGGAAAATTGGACCCAAGCCTATGATGGAGGAAAAAAATAAGGACATATGCCAACCAATTTAGCATAGTACATGAACATTTGAAATAACTAAATTATTGCTTATAGAATGAGACATGAAATCATATGTCATATTAAAAGTAAGACATGAGTACCTATAGTAGATTGCTACCTTGCTGAAAGAAAACCAATGACGTGCAAACAAGTGTCATGTCTAATCAAGAAAATAGTAAGTTTGATATCATAAAGTTATCAAATACCAAACTTGGCGGACGAACACAAAGGAACATACTTGAAATGGAGATGTAAGGTATCAATCCTCGTTCCTCTTGCATGCTAAGTAGGGGTGTCAATATGGGTTGTAACATATGATCCAACCTAGCTCATCACGGGTTCGAATCTAGTTAGGTTCGAGTTTTTTAATTTCTATCGATAATGAGCTAAAAATGATCCTGACTCACTTAACCCACGGGGTTAAACAGGTTTGAGGCAGGAACCCACTATTCATTTTAAATTTTCCAAAAAATTATAATAATTTAGTAACTCTAATTGATGTTATCCTACCTCTCGACCTCTACATCATGTTGTCGTTACAAGTCAAACCCTTATTCAAGGTGGTCATAGTTGTCTACAATACCACTGTGTTCCCCACTGCACCTAGGTTGTTTGCCATTTATTCGTCGCACCACTATACTAATGTGTTCGTTGTGTTTGCTACACCAACCTGTTATGGGTTGACCCAGGTTATGAAAATGTTGGTTTATCATAAAGTGAACTGGGTTGAACTCGTCTATTTTCAACTCAGTCTATGATAAGTAGTGGTAGAGCTTATTATGTGTCAATTTGTAACTTACATTAACATTTATGATTTTGACCTCCCAAACTTAATGATTATTAAATATATTTGTTTATATATTTACAAATTCGACCTCTTACCCTTTCATATCATTCACCTTTTATATTCTTTTATTATTTATTAGTATATTATTTGGTTATCTCAAGATCAATGGTCAAGATTCGTCACTAGTAGTGAGTCAACCCGTGTGAGTCAGGTTGGCTCACTTCGACACTCGTACTAAGTGCTCTGCCATCTAAGCTACATTCCCACATGACTTTTTGGACAGATCAAAATTTATTAGAAAATTGGACCCAAGCCTATGAAGGAAAAATAAGAACATATGATAACAAATTTAACTAAGTACATGAACATTGTTTTCAAGAACAAGACATGAAATCAAAGCTCATATTGCAAGTACAAAGGTGCATACATAATTAAACTTAATTACTAGAGTTTCAATCTCTCTGACTTTCTTACCCTCATATTATTGGTTGTTCTTCATGTCATTTACAAATTGACACATATGATGTTCCCGTTCATTATTCCTTTAAAAATTTGAGAAATAAACACAGATAAAGTTGTATCATGTAACATGACTTCAATTCATATAATAATAATAAAAATGTAAGAAATGGAGATGCAGGGTATTGATCCCCGTACCTCTCGCATGCTAAGCGGGCGCTCTACCATCTGAGCTACATCCCCATGTTACTTTTTCAATATAGATAAAGTTTTATTAGAAAAGTGGACACAAGCCTTTGATTGAGGGAAAAATAAGGAAATATGACAACCAATTTAGTTGAATACATGAACATTGTTTTAAAAGGAGCACGACCCTTACCCATATGTGCTCTACTTAAAACCATATTTGAAATAATTAAATTTTTGTTTATAGAACGAGGCAGAAAATCAGTGGTCATATTATGAGCAAGGCACAAGTACCTATATTAGATTGCTACCTTATTAAGAGAAAATCAATGATGTGCAAATATGTGTCATGTCCCATAGAGAAAATGGTAAGGTGATATCAATAAGTTACCAAATCCCAAACTCTATGGACGAACACAAAGGTACATACATAATTAAACTAAATTACAAGAGTTTCAACTTCCTTACTCTCATGTTATCATGTGTTCCTCATGTAAAAACTAACACATGTGTTGTTCTGGTCCATTATTTCTTTAAATAATTAAGAAATTAAAATAGATAGAGTTTTGTCATGTGTGAACATTGTTTTAAAATGAGCACAACCCTTAGTCATATGTGCTCTACTGAAAACCACAATTAAAATAATTAAATTTTTGTTTGTAGAATGGGGCATAGAATTAGAGGTCATATTAGAAGTAAGGCATGAGTACCTTAATTAGATTTCTACCTTGTTGAAAGAAAACAAATGAGCAAAGCATAAAGGTACATAATTAAACTAAATTACTAGAGTTTCAATCTCTCCAATTTCGTTGCTCTCGTGTTATTTTGTTTTCCTCATATCATTTACAAATTGACACATAAGTTGTTTTGGTCCATTATTCCTATAATAAAAATTGAAAAATTAAAATAGCTGAAGTTGTGTCATGTAACACAACTTCAATATTTATAATAAAAAAAAATTACAACATGTAGATGCAGGATATTGATCCCCATACCTCTCACATTCTAAGCAAGCACTCTACCATCTTAGTCACATTCTCGTATGAATTATAGATAGATTAAATTTCATTTAAAAAATGGACCTAAGTCTATAATGGAGCAAAAACTAAGGACATATGACAACCAATTTACCTTAGTACACAAACATTGTTTTAAAAGGAGTATGACCCTTACCTATATATGTGCTTTATTCAAAACCACATTTGAAATAATTAAATTTTTGTTTGTAGAGCGAGACATGAAATCAGAGGTCATATTATGAGCAAGGCATGAGTACATAGATTAGATTGTTATCTTGTTGAGAGAAAACCAATGACATTCAAACTTGTGTCATGTCTAATAAAGAAAATGGTAAGTTTGATATCAAAGAGTTATAAAGAAGTTGACATTGTTGGAAAGGTTAATATATAAAGTAATCTCCACAAAATTGCATACCTAGATTTAACATCACTGTAACAAACTTCCTAAATCTACTAAGTGTGACTCATCTTGTTAGGAGTACATTGATGTATTACATTCTTAACATGATAGTTCATCTACTAGGAAGTCAAGTAAAGAACATGTGAAACATGAGTTACCAACCTATTAAATATCGATGTTAGGTCAACTTCCTATTGTGTTTCATCCATACTTGATTTAGTTGATGTGAAGGTCGATGGACATTATGGTTACCATGTTATTACTGCATTATTGGATATTCATGGCCTCTTATTCGAATAAACTTGTTGAGTAGCATCATGAATATATACATTTATTTAGACGTGATGAATGTTTTGGAAAATTGAAGTGAGTCTAAGTCCTACATTGGATAGAAATGAGAAAGATGAGTAACTTATAAGTAAGAAAGACTCATAATCTAATTACTTAAGACTTTGGGTTGAAGGTGATATCAATCTCTTATGTGGGTCGAGCTCATCTTTCATTGGTATTATCTCTCCCTAGTGAATCAATCCCCCCTTGAAAGACTCATCCATAATATCAGAGTCGATTGTTTGTGTGGTGACCAACAGTTTAAAAGTGGTCCTTGTTTCGAAAATTTTCTTGACGGTGGGTCAGATAAGTGTGTCCCATTATGAAAAATGGTAGTACAAAGCCATTAGTGAGCTTGAGGGAGATGTACCAATATAAAGGGAGTCCCACTTTAGGGGAAGATTGTTGGAAAATCCAAGTGTGAGTTTAAGTCCTACGTTGGATAGAAATGAGAAAGTTGAGTAATTCATAAGTGAGAAAGACTCATAACCTAATATCTTAAGATTTTGGGATGAAGGTGGTGTCAATTCTTTATGTGGGTTAGACTCATGTCTCATTGATGTTATCTTTTTTCTAGTGAATCCCCCTCGAAAGAAGTAATATCTCAAAAAAAAATAATTAAAATGAAAGATAAGGTTAACTTATCTTAATGATTAAGACTTATCCAAAGTCATTAATGCATTTAATGACTTCATTAAGTAAAAATAAAAAATAAAATAAAAAAAATGGCTATAAATGGGAGGGGGAGGGATCACGTAGGAGGAAAATAAATTGAAGGAGGAGAAAGGGAAAGGGAGGAGAGAGAAGGAAAGAAAGAAAGAAGAAAGGGAGAGGAAAGAGAGAGAGGGAGAGAAAGAGAGAGAAAGAAAGAAAGAAACATGAAGGGAGAAGAAGAAAATGAGAGAAAGATAAGTCACTTCTGCAAAATTTTGGTACATCATCTGCAATTCTTAAGGTAGGGGAGGAGAATATTATCATTAAATCTATTTTATTTTGCTTATAGTTGTGGAGTGAGGTGTCTCTAACCTCATTCTATTTATTTAGTTATTTGTTTGTTTATTTTATCTCCGAGTCTTGCATCTGGTCATATTTTAATTATCTCCAGTTATGTACTTGTCCTGTTTGTTTATTTTATTTTATCTCCAGTCTTGCACTGATCCTATTTTAATTATCTCCAGTTATGTACTCGGTATTGTTTGTTTACTTTATTTTATCTCTAGTAATGCAGTGATCCTATTTATTAATTTATAGTTATATTATTCAATTATAATAATATCTATTTGTGAAGATTTGATAATATTGTAGATGGAGGTTGGACCTTGGGGATTTAAATGAGTAAATATTACTGTGAGAGTAATTAAAATTGGGCTCATTTATCCCGACTAGTCACTATAAATTTAATTTAAATCTTCATAAAATATAATGTGTTGAGGAAGTTGAAACATATATATCTATATATTATAAGATTGTATTATTGTAAATGATAAATGTTCTCACTCTCTATTGTGATCTTTTGTGCATGTTTTATTTAAACACCAACTTAAGTAGATGGAGGCGCCAAATATTCCAAATCCCTTTTTTGCAAGCATCACTGCCTTCTTCCCAGGAACTACTTGGAACACGAACGTTATAGACAACTCAGTTACTTTTAGAGGGACATGATTATCAATAATAACATTTGTATCTGATATGGGAAATCTCATTATATTAGATGGACCAGTAGTGATTACCTTTTGTATGCCTCCAACCTTTTTCCAAAATCCCTTAATCAGTTTGTTTCCACCGGCAATGTAGATATTTGTAAAATTGTAAAAAAAAAAATAGAAGGAATAAAAAATAAAATTCCTTCTTCTTTTGTATATCTTATATATATATAGTGATGTAAATTACTTTTACATATATGTAATATTTTTTTGACCTGTTACTCTTATACAAATAATAATGATAAAAAAAATGTCACAAAAGACCCATCAAAATGTTGAGTACCATAAAAAATACTCCTTGTTGACGAAATGACCCAAGTAAGGTAATTACCAATTAAGTAAATTATAATTATGCTCTTCTTTTGTAAAATGTACGACTATACTTTAATTATTTTCAAGAAAATATGGATAAGTGGACAATTATTCCTAATAATAGATATGTTATTGCAAATCATTATAATGTCATTGTCGTATGTTTATCACTTAAACAAAACATTACTATAGTTTTATTGTATAGTGAATTCACTTTTCATATGCTTTATTTTTAGTTTTACTCCAAGTTTGTTTTTCTTTTCTTTAATTTCGATTTTGCATCTTGTCATATCAATTTCTGATTATAACTTAAGGAATCAATTAAGTCTCGATTTGATAATTAGATACGAATTAGGTTACATGTTATTGAGAATTAATTTGTGTCGCAATAGGGACGTGACGAAAAAATATGACGTTTAGATATAAAGAAAAAATGAAATCGCCACCAATATTTATTTTAAAGAAAATATTGAAAAAATCTTTAAAAGAAGAAAAAGTGGTATATGAAATAAAAATTGAATTCAAGAGTCGATTATATTTAGGAAAAATATTAGCATCCTACAAACATTCATTCTAACCTACCTTTAATTAGATGTGAAAAAGTTAAATATCTTAAAAATTATTTATTTTATCCCTCAAAATTAAAATAATATCTTATCATATATCTATAGTTTTTAAAATTAAATATTATTTATAAAAATAATATTTTTTTTCTCGACGAGATATTATCTCTATGTTTCTATGTGGAGAATAAGTGTAACCTGAAAAATATATGTGAATAATTTATTTTAATTTATTCATTTGTGTTATTCAATTAATTATGTGTTTAAAATTATTTTAAAATTAAATAATTATATAATAATCAAATTAGATATCATTTTTATAACTTAATTAATAATTAAATTGAAAATACATACAAAGTAATTATTAATATGAAAATATTTTAAATTATTAAATTTATCATTTCTATATAAATTTAAAATATTTTAAAATAATTATTTTATTATATTTGAATTTATTATTATAATTTATCTCAAATTAGAAATATATTTAAAAGACTTAATTTAAAAAAATTGGTTGCAATGCTAATTAATAAAAATAATGTTACATATTTTATAATTCAATAAAATAATATATTAACATTTGAGGAGAGAAAATAGTTATTATTATAATTTAATTATTAATTTACTAATATGATCTACTAATTTACATTTTTTTTAAGTAAAAAAGTGGAATAATTATTTTAATATTTAATTTTTAAAATATAAAAATAAAAACTTTCTGACTGATTACTATTAAAAACCTGTTTTTATTATATTGATTTAAAAAATTTCAGACCTAATAATTCACACAAAATTCTTTTAATTTTTTTTTAAACCCATTTTTGCTATTTTCACCACCAAAATCAAAGAAAATAAAATTTTACTGAACCCAATCTGTATGTCAACCCAAAACTTCTATAAAAATTAAGTTGCTATGTGAAGGCCTCTGTTCACTATTTTCACTCCCAAAATCATATCGAACAAATTTTGTTGGGCTTAAGTCTCCCTAATTTCAATTCTAATATAATGAGAGAGTAAGGGCAGCCACCAACCAAAAAATGGAGATGGGAATGAGGAGGTTGTGGCTATGGGGAGGTAGACATAATGGCTTTGGTGAGTGATTTCGATGAGCTTGGGAGAGTGATTGGGAGGGTGAGGTGGAGAATGGTTAGAAAGGGTTTTCACAACAAGCTTCGACATCTCGCAGCTTTGGTTCGTTGTGGGGGGGTTTGGAGCCGTGGAGGAGAAGAAGCATGGCAATTTGGGGGTTCAATGGAGTGAGGGAGGCTAGGGATTTGTGGCGAGGAGGTTTGGGCATCACCGTGATGGTGGAGGTGATGGGTTAGGGCTTGCACAGTACCTCAAGGCTGGCTGCGCGAGCATGGCACTAGAGAGCGCAAGGATCGTGGATGGGGCATGAAGTTGGCGAATGTAAGCTTGGTATTTATCTGTTTTTGTTTTGTTTTTTGAAAATTTTTAATTTATTTTATAATGATTCATTCGTTTCGAAACACGGTTAGTATGAAAGCAAATTTGTACAGCAAGAAACAGGGAGCTACAATTAGAGACTGGAAGCCATACAACAGTAATTCCTAAATTGGATTTCTGCCCTTTTGAACTTGAATATTTGAATCTTTCGTTCTTCTCTATTTTCTTCTTTTGCGTTGTTACGTGCTTCTATTGTTCTTTTTCTTTTGAATTCTTCTCTATTTTTTTTTCTTCCTCTTTTTATTCATTGGTTGTACAATATCAGGCTGGTGGAGGGTGGTGTATCGGAGGGAGACGACCTGAAAAAGGGACTGATAACTTGCGAAGGAAGAAGGAAAAAAAGAGACGCATGTCTTCCATTTTACTATTTTTATTTATTTTTTATTATTTTTGCATTTTATTGTTAATTATTATTATTTATTTAATTATTTTATGTAATGTGTGCCTATACGAAGAAATGAGATCGGAAGAATTCGAATAATCAGGGAAATTAATTGAATTGATTAATTTTTCACATTTAGATTGAATTATTGTATTATTAAAGATGTATGATAAAAAAAAATATTGTTTAGTGGAGAATAATTTCATTTTTATTTTTTATTTTGATTTTTATTATTTGAATTTATTTGTTTAATTTTGTTGCTTGATTCAATTGTTTGCATTTATAATTTTCAAAACCTAAATTTCCAAAATTTAACTTCTACAAAAAGAAAACTAAAGATTGAATATATTTTTACGCGTCTCGTGAAAAATAACTTAGGTTGAGTTTTATATTATCTTTACTGTAAATTTAGAATTTTTTATTTCATAAACAACATTGAACATCTTACACTAAGAATTTATCCATGAAAATCATTTACTAACAACTCATCCATCATGATATAAGGAATCATTATATTATTTGTGTTGGTTATGTTCATAGAAATTATTTTATTTTACTACTTATTTTATGTGTCTTAAACAAATATATAAAATATTGATAATATTTATTAAGATATTATTTTATTATAGGTTTTCTTGAGAGATAGTTGTTCTATACATCTAACATAATATATTATTGTCTACTTACTACAAAATCATGAGTTTTTATTATACATTGGTTGGAATGAAATATTCTTTGCAAATTAATGGATATTAAGCAATATTATATTAAATTGTGTTTATGACATCAAACATTATTATACGTAATAGTACTTATTAATAGTTACGTGAAGCTTGAGTTATGAATATTACAAATATTAATATAATACAAACACAAAGTTAATAAGGTCAAACAATTAAGGAATAATCCAATAATAAAGGATGTCTACATCAATTAAGGAATAATATAATAATAAAGGGTGCCTACATCAATTATTATGATAACATATTAAAAACATTATAAATAATATATAATAAGTAAGTTTGATGATTAAGGTGTCTACGTCAATTATGTGTCTTCTTATATCGCATTAGTCTCATTTCATGCTAATGTATATTTAGTAATATGACTAAAATCAACCATTAACTATAATGTGGTGATGATCCTTGAACATATATTCTTTACAATAATATAATAATTAATAAAATAATATTATTTATATACAATAATTATCATATATAGTTCATATTCATTACCACGTCAAGATATTCTCCTTGAACATATTCCTTGCAATAATATAATATATAATAATTAATAAGATAACATTATTTATATACAACAACTACCATAGTTCATATTCATTACCACATCAAGATATTCTCCTTGGGTCTTCTCTGCATTACTTAAAGGAGGTATGACATTTAATTGCTCATCTTTGTCTAATTGAATAATATAAGAGTGAGAGATACGATGAAATCATTCTATATATCCATGATGACTAGCCTTTACAAGATCATCAAGTAAACGGTTAGCAAAATACAATTATAGATCCTCTGACACTTCTATTATGGGTGTAGGTGGAGCATTACTTAACAATAATATGATGGAGAATTCTTTTTTTTTGTACATATCCATATTATCAAAAGACATGTTCTGACAAGTGTAGATGCCAAAGAGATCTCAATCTAATGTACCCCGAGAACATAGTAATCCACTTGAATGGTCAAACTGCCATATAATCATCATATGACATCCATTTCACCATAGTTAATGATAGATGGTCAAGTTGAAATTGGATGATTGCAATTGAAGATAATCCACCAACCACATACTTCATACAACATGGGGATTCCTCCACATAATCCTTCACCAGATCTCTCAAACCTATCCTAGGAAAATGTTGATATATTCAAGCCTATTTAATTGAAAAATTTAATAAAAGTTCACTCCATTTTAAGCTAATATTAAAAGAATCAAATAATGATATTATACCTAAAATAATGTAGCATATCCAGCTAACTTCCTTGTATTTACATAGGATGCATATCAAGTTGCTCCTAAGAATACCTGCCACAAGTGATAAGATCTTGAAATATTCCAAAGTATGATACACTAATAGAAGTTGCACTTTTGTCAGTAAAAATAGTGCAACCTACAAAAGGCATCAAACATGTTTGAGCGGCAATGCCCCATTATTTGTGTACAAGCATTTTTGTAAACTTTTTGCAACCAACAAAGACGGACATGTCCACCTCCACAATGTCTTATTTCTTAAAAAGTCACTACAAATTAAACCATAAGAGCTTTATTGACACTTCTGCAACTTCCTATGCTTCCAAGTGAATATAATTATAAACTTGATCAACAATTGACAGATACAATAATGAGGATACATCATCTAGTGTGATTATCGTCTCACCTATAGGTAGATAGAAGTTGCTAGTTTTACTATGCCACCTCTCAACAAAGACAAATAGTAATCTCGTATCTGTTATGCCATAGTTAACAACCACAAGTGCTTCTAATCCAAATCACTAAATTGTAGTTGCAAGGCACAAATGTGGAGCCCAAACTTTTTCATTTTCTATGATGGGAAACACATTTCAACTCGTCACGATCCTACAGGAAAAAATAATTATTTATAAATTTTACAACATTAACTTTTATACAAACTAGTTTATATGAGGTGAATCAACTTATCATTCCCTCCCACATATTATAGCCCATGTGATGTTCATATTTTGTTAGTAATGAGGTGTCAATAGGTCCCATAAAAAAGATTGATCATCTATTGAAGGTTCTTGATGTTGTCCATTTACAACATTCTCTACCACATTATATTCGTATTCATTAACACCGCTTGACTCCTCATCAACCTTACGTCTTACAGAGATAGTTGGTCAAACATGATCCGAGGGTTAAGAGTCACATCCCCTAATCGTGGCCATAATAAAAATAACACTACTCAAAAAAATAGTTATTTGACATATTTTTGGATTTCTTGAAATATATTCTTAATTAAGCTATCTGGAACTCATTTCCAAATTATATTTTTCAGAAATGAGTCCTTGATAGGTTAATCTGGATTACATTTCTGCATTGTGTATTTCAAAAAATATTCCATATTAGTCTATTCGAAACTCATTTCCTGATTGTATCTTTATAAATGTATTTCGAATTTAACAATTTAAAATACTCCCATATGGATGCATTTTTTCAGAGCAATTTTGGACGCATATCATGTAATTCAATTCAAATCATAAATAATCAAGATATTTCTAACATTAGAATGAAAACGGTCTTGAGTGAAGGTGTAACAAACAAAGGAGGTGTAGGACATATAGAAGTGTGGCATGCTTAGGAGGTAATTGTGCCTTAGAGTAGGGTATCAAACATAAAAGAGAATAAGGGTACTTTCGTTATTTTACATCTATCACGGGAATGTTGGAATAAATTATTGGGGTAGAGGAAAAAACAACTAGAGTTTTTTTATTTTTTATCTATACTGAATCACACTTATTTTAACTTCACCCACTTAGATAAATTACCTTATAAGTTTATAAGTTGACATGTTTTATAAAATAATAATATTTTTTAATAAAATAAAATTAATTTAATATGGGATCTACTTATTATGAGTAAATATAAGAATAAATATTTAACATCCACATTTTCATATTTAATGGTTAAGATGAGTTATTATTTTATATAATAACATCCACCTTTGGTTACTAAAAAATAAATAATTATAAGAAATAATAAGCTTTTAACTCTTTTTTTATGAAATAATATTTTCTCTCGGAGCATAATTAACCATCACAATCCCTTCTTTAAAAAAAATAATTTTTTGATATGCTATAATTATTTTTAAAATTAAATAAAAATTATTTTATAAATATATTTAAAAATAACTTTTTTTTATCTCAATTTTTATTTATAATAAATATCATATATTTTTACCTAATTTTTTATTTACATTTTTTCTTTTACTCTTCTACCTTTAGCTTTTTATCTTTTCTTCTCTCATTTGTTCATTTTCCCACTTCAACATTTTTTTATCACATACTCACTCTATCTTTTAACGTTTCTATTTATTTTTCTTTACCACTCCTTCATTTTCATGTTCTTTTCTTATGATCTCACCCTATAACATAAATTTTGTAAGTTTTCTTTCCTTAGTTTTCATTTTTTTTTTATAGTTTCAACTTTATAATATAAGAATTGTAATTTTTATTTTTTATTTTTTTATATTCGAATAAAAGAGATACTCTATAATAATTTTCTTGAAATAAAGAAACAATAAACAAATTATTGTTTCTGTTTTAATTTAGTTTTAATTTAGCATGTAGTGTAATATAAAATATTAATATTATTTTTTATTATTCATTAATTACTTAGTTATTTTATTGTTTTATGATATGATGTTAAAATGTGAATAAAAAAATATAGGTTGAGTTTTAAAATGTCCAAAAAGAAAACTATAAACTCATTTTTTTAAGAAGAGATGATAGATAAAAAAAATAAACTCTATTTTTCAAAATTTAAATTCAATTAATAATGTTGAATATACT